CCAATTTATACTATTAGATTTGCTTTTCCTTATTCTTGCTATAATTTATTATTAAACTTAAAGCTTCCAGGCAGAGTTTTATCCCCTGGATTGATTTATTTCATTAATCACTATCAGGAGAAGGGTTTTTGATATGAAAAAGGTAATAAATTACATGAGAATAATAACTTTATAACTTTGATACGGAAGCTATATGGGTTGACTCATGGGGGGTTCTCATAAGTTTAATGAACTTAGGTTATGAATTCACAAAAACAAACCATAAACTTAATGATTTAATTCATGTTTGATTGCATTATTTGAAAGAATAATTATGACCGGATTTAGAATAGCTAACAATACATCGGGAGAGTTGTCAGTGATTTAGGGTTGTTTCCCCTAACTTGAAATAATTTAAAATTTTGTTTCCCCTACTTGAATAATTAAAATTGATTATCAAACTAATAAAATAAATTGGATAGAATTAAGTGAAATCAATATCCCTAGTAGTTTTAAATCATTGATCTCTTTCCATCTAAATTTTGTTGTTTGATTTCTTTCTATTTTATTTTGAAATTTACTTCCTTAAAATAATTCCTATTATTGCCGTTTAAATAATAATAGGTTAACACAATTTTGGTATTTGATATACAATCCCTGTGGATACGATACTCTCACTCTATATTACTTGTTGCGATTTCGTACACTTGCGAAAATCTCTGTCACTTCTCAATTTCCTTGATGTATATAATAATACTGATATGGGTGTACCATTACTAGTTTTGTATTTACCTCCAATATGATTCGATGGTCATAATTCCGACTCGGGGGGAAGCGTTATTGGTTCATCAAAAAGAGATGAGTATTCAGCTAGCAACTTCTGTAATTGAACATTCAAGTCTGGTATAGGTTGGATGGCATGTAATATTATTGGAGAAGGAGGCTGAATTCCCTGCTATTGTACCTCCTGCCCTTTCTTAAAAAATATCATTCTCATGTGAGAAAAATCCCACAAAATGGGCCCCAATGTTTTGAGCCAATTCACTCCTAGAACCTGTCAAATCCACTTAATGGTAAAATTAATAGATCAATAGAGAAGGAATAGAGGCCCAGATTGAGAGAAATATTTTGACAAGTACCTGGACTAGTTATTATTTCTCCATTAGCCACCATCACCAGCAATCCGGCCTTTTCTGATCTATTTTATCTTTTAAGTTGTGCAACCAATCGAGAGTCAATAAAGCTATGGGTGCTTCTTGAATCAATCAAAATCAATATCTTCTTAACATTCCAATTGACTTCCAACTTTATAGATTGTGGTGCACGAATTCCTGTGATAGCATTGAATAAAATTTCTGGTGTTAATTCTTGTGGGAAATCATCGCTAAGATCCATGTCATCATCCTCTTCCAATAATCAAGCTAAAATAGCCTTTTACATTGATGGCCCCAGATAAATTGTTCATCACAATTGAAACAAATCCCCTTTTGTCGTCGTTCCTCCATCTCAGCCTGAGTTAAATGTTTCACCATCCATGTAGGATTTGAGCTTGATATTGATGGTGAGCTCGTTCATCAATTTTCAAAAGCACTTGAAAGTTTCATGCCGCCTGCTTTTGTCCATATAATCGAGACATGCTCATAGCAGTGGCCAAATCTGAAGGATGATGAAGTTCCACCTCTATAACGATGTATTCTTGCAATCCGATGATATAGAGCTAGACCTTTCGCATTTGTGTCAAAATGCCTGCTCTGCCAACAAGGTTCTTGAATTGAGTCTAATAATCTGCCATCAAAACCTGTTTGTTTCAACATGGCCAATCCCCCCAGCTTGTTGGATCTAATCGGAGGTCCAAAATGTAAGTGGCATTGATTCTTAAATTCTTCCTATGAAGGATCTGGATAACCATTGAGTAAATGAATGAACCGAAGTTGAGCCACCCCTTCCAAGTGAAAGGAGGCCAATTGGACTTTTTCTTCTTCCATGGTTTGTTGATGGTGGAAAAAATGCTCGCAGCAATTTATCCGTCCGATAGGATCTTCGTGGGCATTGAACTTTTAAAAGTCCAATTTAGTGAATTTAGGAATGATGGAATTACGTGATGAAGACTCCGAACCAGTAGAAGTGGTTGTTCCTTTGGCCTTTAACATACAGCTATGTGCACTACTTCGTACAGTTATTTTACATTGTTTGATGCTCTCAACATCTTGGATAAGAGCTTCCAACTTCAGGTTTAACTCTTCTTGTCGTACCTTATTGATAGCCTGTTCATCGAGCAGCAGTTTCATAATTTTGTCAAGTTGTTGATGAAAATATTCACCCATAACAGCCTGCTCTGATAACACAATGTTCCAAGCCCTTGCTTGGGATCTGATTAAGGGTCCTTGAAATAAAGGATTAGGTTTAGAAGGAGTGGAGGAAGAGGGGTTCTACCTATGTTTAAGACACATAGAGGATCTACGATCTCTTGAGTTTAAGTACTCAAAATTGGAATAAAATTTACTGTTCATTTTATTCAATTACTTGAGTTTAAATACAACTAACATATAACAACTACCTCCTGAAAAACTAAAATAACAATAATTTTTATTTCAAGGGCATAAAGATAACTAAATTATAACTAAATCCAAAACTCCACTAAATCTTGAACAATAATATCAGCACCAACTCAGCACATGGACTTAATCAACTTAATATATGCACAAACTCGGCACTTGGACTTCATCAACTTGCATCTTTTTCTTCAGCCCATGAGTGCACCTTCTCTAAATATATGGTCTCTGTTGAGAACGGCTGCTAACATTATATTTATTCAACGGCTCAAAAGCTTTAACATAATTATAGAAGCTTGTAAGCTTAAACATAATAACATAACACACTCGCGTGTCTAGATCCAGAATTATATACATGGGGTCTTCATAATAGCAGTGCTGCAAAACATCATATTCACACCCCTGCACTGACTTGGGCAAAAATTGTTGAGATGGCTCGAAATGACATGACACGTTGAAATCAATCTAAACTGAAGATTGCCTAAGTAAATAAACAAATCAAATGAGAAAAAAAATGGAAAAGAAATGATGGCTTCTTTCTTTAATCAATTGGAAATTCTTGCATCTCCATGCCCTCTCCCTATGCAGTGAATGCTGGAGAAGCTACTACCACAACAACATTACGATTTGTGGGAAGATACAAGACATAACAACATAAATAGCCTATTCAGCGATACTAACCGTTGGCTATTTTAATAGTTACTAGTCTTCTTTATAACGTGCGTTGCATGATAACTATACTTGTTATATATTCATTCTTATACTCGTTCATTTTTTTTATATAATATTAAAGTATAAATCCTTATTTAAATTGAGTGGTTAAATTATATTACATTTTATATATGTAGTAAAATTTTTTTTTTCTATGTCAACGTACTAATTCATACGATTTTTATTATACGTTAGTTGCTTTCATTTTCTTTGTTAAGGAAAAACCAAATTGATTTATAAAAATCATCATATAGCTTCTATTATACATTTTATAATTATTTTACATATTTTGGTAATAACTTTCGTTGTAATCTCTTGTAGTAAATAAATATACGTTTACAATAAAATAAAAAAACCATCTAATAAATCAAACTAAATATTTATAAATAATTATAATTTCTTTTATTTTTTTAGCCAATCAAAATCATGAAAGCAATTTAAAAAATCATTAATAAAATAATATTTTTTAATAGAAATATAAAAAAAAATCATTAATAAAATAATATTTTAATAGGGGAAAAAGAATAAGGATTGAATTATATAAATATTATAAGATATCAATATAACTAATTAAATTCGAGATGTTTAAAAATAACAATTTTTTATCTTATTTTTTGGCTAACCAAATTAGAGTGTAATTTGTAATGAAAGAAATTTAACCATAGCCTTTTTAAATCAAATCTGACTCATCTAGATATATTTATTTAAAATAAATTCAAAAAAATAAAAATTTTCAACTACCAATTTACATATATTATTTAAAATAATAATATTGAAGCTAGATTATAAATTATAATAATAATGAGTTATTAAAAATTATTAAATTATTATTAATAATTTACATAATAATATAATGAAATAAAATATAATTAGACACAATAAAGATAATAATAGTAAAATTTTAAAATTTTTAAATGCTTACTTATCTATATTTATTTATCTATTAAAAAAAGTAAAAAAAAAAAAACATCCAATTAAATTATTGAAATATTTTATATATTTTTATATTAAAAATTTTTAATTGGTTAAAACTAAAATTATTTTAGGATATTTTAAATTTCACAAGGACAATATCGGACATCTCATTATTCTCCTGCTTATACCACTTTTATATATAATATAGATTAATTATTTCGAGTAACAAACTACAGTGCAGCATGACCATTAGATTTTATTTTTTAAAACTTAGCCATTGAATGCTAGAATGAAAGAAAAATCAATTACTTATTGTATAGGTATTAAATTCCTTTTTAGTTTTAAATAAAAATGATTGTTTAATTACTATTAAATATTTAATTATTTAACCCAAAATCATTTTCATCGACTTTACTTTTTTGAAAGCCTACTTTGATTTGTATAGAAAAAATTCAAATCACATATATTATGCTATATAAATTTTATAAATGTATATCTTAAACATTCTTGTTTATTCTCTTAACAAATATATTATTATTAACGTAATTGTTATTTCAAATACGAATACTTATAAATACTTCATTATTAGCTATACCTTTTTATAAAAGTTAATGATCACTTTAATAAAATTGTATCAAAATTACAAAAAATTATCTACTAATTATTGTGAAACACCAAGTGTTAACATAGTAGCTTTCCTTACCAAACACTAACTAATAACAATAGTATGTTAACTTGTTCAAAACACTAAAATCTACGCTAAAAGTTGCTGAACAAGGCTAAAGTTATATAGAAATAGTTACTGACAAAAATTATCCACAACTAATAAGAATTTCTTCGTGATTGAATTTGAATTGGTAAAGGTGGTTATTTGTAATAAGAATCATGGTTTAGATGTGAAATTAAAAAGAATAATAAAAATGTTAATCTAACAAAAAATATATATAATTAAATATTAAGAAAATGAAATAAATAAATATAATGAAGGCAGTCACTATCTTACAGTTACAAGTACAAATTAGTTTATGTCTTATCCTTTTTTCCAGCATCAGCTCCATCTTTCTTTCCGGCAAGAATCATTGAAATCTGAAGGCCTCTGCTAAAAGCTTGATTGAAGAGCAGACGAGTTTGGAAGTCTGATACAAAAGGAAACCATGACAAAATGGCTGTTGGCATGAATATTAATAACCCCATTATGTACTCGTAAGCTCTTGCTAGCTCCTTTATTGAATCCCAGAATGCGATCCTCTTGAACAACGGCCTGCATGCTTGCCCGATCTTTCAAACACAAGAAAATAAAAAATAAAAAAATAAATAAAAAAAAATCCATTTAATCATTGATCGTGTTCATCTTTGCAGCTAAAAATCACATTAAGGGTTAATATTAAGGATTCACTAGCATATAGGTGTAGCAGAATCCCACAGTATACTGCAATTTCATAAAATAAGCAACTCACCAGAAGAAGGGCCCACCCAGTGGGCATGAAGGCAAGGATTGCAGCAAACAGATCTGTTATTGTGAGTCCAAATACTACAAACAAGACTGTCATGACAGACATGAAGCCAAGGAAAAGAAGAGCCTTGAGAATCCTGAACATAAGCTGGAAATCGATACCAAACCTTCGCCTACCCATTGATACCATCTGATAGCAGCAATTAAACAGAGTGAGTATGTATCCCACGAAAGTGGAAATGGAAACAAAAAGAAATGAATGAAAAGTTTAAAAGAGGAAACACAATGTTCTAAGTTTAATCGTAAGATGAGGAAATTCTCATTTCTGCTGAATTTGAAATAAAGTAATCTCATAGATGCCTATTAGTTGAAAATTACTTCTATAGCTTAGTTCCATGGACATACCTTTAAGACCAAAAGAGCAGTTATCATAACTACCCAGGAAAGTCCATAAACCTACAATAATTGAAAAAAAAAAGTTAGTAACAAAGCCTCTAAAATTAAAAAAAAAAGTTAGTAACAAAGCCTCTAACATGGTTGCAAATATCAGAGAATCAATAGTAAATAGGATTACAAATATTAAATTGTACCAGAACACTTCTGTTATGGTGGGCTATATCAAGGTGATAAACAATGCCATATTGATAGATGAAAAAGCGAAATGCAAGGATTATCTCTAGCAGCCACCCCCTTATATTTGTATATTTGAGATGTTCGTTCTTGGCTCTCCATCCCACCAGGATTCCCAACTTTTATTCAGGAGGGGATTACCAATTACCACCACCGATTTCCCATCCATCTCTTCCAATCTGTCCAATCATCACTGCCTTTTGCCAGTCAAAACCAGATGCGGTTAAACACAAAAGGAGCAAACAACCAGGATCCAACCAGAAACCACATGGAGAATGTGATGAACCAATAAAGATTTGAAGTGCGATATTGATTCCCAAAACTTCATACAAGACCAATAGTATAATCAGCTCTAATCCCTTTACAAAGATGACTTCGCCGAGTAAGTCCTGTAGTTCTCAGCAAACTTCATATGGAAAACAACAACCCCGACCAGTAGCTCGATATTTCACGACCAGTAGCTCGATATTTAGAACCACCATGCAAAATTGTTCTCCCATAATAATGAGCCTTAGTTCCAAGCTGGAACGTGAAGAATACGGAGGCCAACTGAAGCTGCATAATGACAAAATCACCCAGAGCAGTGCGAAACCCTTTCTCCAAGCCAATTTCCATGATCATGGGCAGCACTAACAACAAGCCTAATTGAAAAACAGACTGAGTAGCTAAGGCTTCTTCAAGGGCCTTGCTTTGGCGTATGCTTGGGTTAGTAAGAATCTCCATTTCTAGTCCACTCATTACCATGTATAGACGACCATATAAGAATACGTACACAGTAAGCACAGTTACCTGAGATGACAAAGATTCAATTAAAGCATCAAAAGTTAAGTCATTGTTTTGAGGAGATTGCCAGTACTGAAAAGAAATGCTTTTACCAATGAAAAAGCTTATCCCATTTAATTTCACCACAGCCAATTTACAAAAGATTTAATGGGGCAATCTAGTCATTTGTTGATTTTACACGGCTCTTTGGAAGGTAAAGAGACCAAGGTCGGGAGTATAGGAAAAAAGAGGTGAGAACTTTGGCAAGGATTAGAGAGCCTAGTTATTAAGGAGGCTCACTGTTTAATAAATGATAAGTTTTTTGACAACTAATGAGTCAAAGTAATAAAGATGCAACAACTAGCATCTGAATTCCGTCAGCACAAAATTCTACCACCCATCAATTATATACTTTCTTTTACAACTTATCAAAAGATGCTCACATCTTCCATAAAATTGAAGATTTCACAAGCAATCAAATACTGAGACAAATGGAACAGAAAAAAACCCCTAATTATTTTAGGTGGCGACCACACTGAAATTGTTAAGTGTTCTTAAACTTTAATTGATTTTAATTTTTTATCTTAAAAAATTTATAATGTCTTTAGGTTTTGTTTCCACTAAAAATCGATTCTGTGTATATTTTAGGTGGTATTTTCACGAATTTCTAAAATTTTCCACTAGAAATCGACTAAGAATTGAATAAAAAATTAATTGTTAAATCATTATTAATTACTTATTTTGAAAATGATGCATATAACATTGATACTAAAAAATTAATGCAACAATTTCAAAGTATAAAATTGTGTCATAAAAAATTATAAAACAATATTACAACTATCTATTAACAAGAATCCCCTTTGTATTTTTTCTATACATATTGTCTTATGCTAGCATGAAATATTATAATAAATAATATTGATAATTTTGAAAATAAACAATATTGATAAATAATAATAATAATAATAATAATAATAATAATAATAAATGATTATTTAATTACATACTTTGAAAATTATGTGTATGACAATGATAATTAGACAATTAAACAACAATTTCAAAGTATAAAATGGTGTCATAAAAAATTATAAAACAATATTACATCTATTAACTAGAAGTTCCTTTGTGTTTTTTTTATACATATTGTCTTATGCTAGCATGAGATATTATAATAAATAACATTTAATTATTTTAATACCATTAAATATTTTACTAATAATATGACAAATATTTGTGACCCCACTGACCAAAATTTCTAACTTGAAGCTAAAAGAAAAACTAGTTAGAAGAGAAAGATTAATTTCACAAAAGACTGTTAGGGATCGTCCAACATACCATGCTACTAAAGTAGAAACCAACTGTTGTAAAATAGAATGATAGCATTCGATAGAAATCAAATCGGCGTCCAAGTCGATAAACATCACGACTAAGTGTCTGCTCCCCATTTCCATTTGCAACCTTTGCTTCAAAAGATGATATTTGATTCATTCCCACATCACGCCCTTTGCCTACTTGGATATATTCATGATACGCCCTTTGCCTACTTGGATATATTCATGATGTGTTATGTATCCCCCTCGTAATGTTGAATTGTACCCTGAAGGGATGGACATGATTAACCTTCACATTATAACTATTAGTCCGTAACTATTAGATGAACTGAAACTTACCTGAAAATATATCCTCACTCAAATTTATTATTTTTGAAGCTTTGCTTATGCCACCCCTTGTTATGTGGAATATCCTATCAAATATATCAGGATGACCATAATGGAACCTCACCCTGTAAAATTATATGAAACATTAATTACTTTTTTAAATAATAAGATAAATAATTTAAGATCCATGCACTGAGGTCGCAATAATATAATTGTAATGTAACAAAATATATATATATATATGTATATATATATTTTGGATCCAAGTTGAGAGCATAAAATGCAGATCATGCTGAAAACAGCCAAGTGCCTATGAACAAAGACGGACCATTGCAAGTAACTTTCATAAATTTAATCCACAATGTTTTTTTTTTTTTTTTTTTTTTTTTTTTTTTTGATTCATAGTTCCCTTGGGCATAATTAACTGAATGTTAATACAGAAAAGTAGCATCACAATGTATTCATTGCACTCAGTTTCTTTTATGGAATTGTTCTTTTCCTTTTCAGGCTTTGCATGCCGTTCAAAAATTGATGATGGTAAGAAGAGTGCCAAAGCAAAACATGTAGTTCAACATAAGGTAAATCAGCCTGAGCGCCCAAATGTTAAGTTTGAGTTGAAAGAGTCACATGAACAAGCTAGTGGTACTATGAAGGATAATATGGTAAACGATCATTAATCATTTTTGTCTGTTCTGAATTACTCCCAAAAAAGCAATGTCAAATGGATCAAAAAATATATATATGTCTTCTATTAAATTATGTTCTCATTTTTCCATTTAATGATTGAACTATTTGAAATTTTTTTTTTTTCAGGCATGGAGATTTTCAAAACCGCAGCATCATTAGTCTGAGCAAATAATTAAAGAATTACATACTGAAAACAAACTAGGAAAATTTATGAAAAACAGATCCAGATGCCAAATTTCCAATATTTGAGAAAAAGCAACTTCCAACTTTAGAGCAAACAAAGGCAAGCTGATAGTGCTAATATTTACTTCAAGAACAATTCTTTAGTAAAATATTGCCATAAAGAATTTTTAGATTGTTAGTCTTCAAAAAAAAAAAAAAGCATCATGTACACAGGAAAATCTTGATGAATTATACTTACATTGATGAATGAAAATAGTTTCACCATTAAAGTCAAAAAATATTTAAGTATTAATATCTACCATAACAAAAGCAAAATACTATAAACAGGCTAAAGATGTAACTTTTACCTTTGGAACTTCATAGTTTGCAGTATTGAATATAAAATATGCTCAATTCAAATCAAGCTCTGCAATGGTTGAAGTTAACTTTAATGTTCAAATATAATCCCAAGGACCCATTTATTGAGAAAAACCTACTTTGTATGTTAACAATTATTTGCAATATATAAGATATTGTGATATTTTGTCTAGAAAATTTAAGACTATTTACCTTAACAGAAAACTAGTAATTACATTTGACTCAGTGAGACATTCTATAATATTCCAAAATCCTGCTGAGGTATCAATACAAGCTACTCTAAACTTGCACAAGCCATTATCATGTCCAGAAGGATACTGCATTCTTGAGACATGATTTGAGTGCATTTTTGACACCATGACAAAACTCACAGGACAAAGTTTTCTTATATTTAAAGCTTTCATTTATTTTGAATTTCTGAATTTATTTGAGAACAAGGGTTTGAGGAGTTTTAATGGCTTAACTAAGTTAATTCAAATCCACATGTCCTGGCTTGCAATAAAAGTTCTTTTCAAGATAAAAGAAAAATATCTGTCAAGATATTTTTGGGCATTACATGTTTCTCATTGGGAAATGAGACTTGATTTACCAAGAGCAATTTTTATTTTCATTTTTCTCCCCTAAAGTGATAAACCATCTGCTTGTAGGACTTCACGATCATGTTCTCATATTTGAAAATTATAATCAAGAAGAAACAATAGGAAAGAAACAGTAAAAAAAAAAAAAAAATCCTAACAAGAGGAAGGATCAATCTAAATGTACATTCCAATCATTAGTGAGTTTACCTCAAAGGATTAGCCAAAATACGTTGGCCAATAGTTACAAAGCTGGTTTCTTGATTGGACATGAACCAAGCTAATGATGAAACACTGTGAAATGAAAAGAAAAGAAATAAGCATGCATCCTAACTTCTAAGGACAGGCATTATTTGGGTACTAATTAAATCAATACATCAAATTCTCACAACTTGGTTTCAAGTTCAATCTGGCTTTTCTCCAAAAAAATAAAAATAAAAATAAATAATTCTAGTTCAATCTGGCTTTTCTCCAAAAAAAATAAAAATAAAAATAAATAATTCTATAATTAATAATGAGTTCTAAACCTGAAAGATTCAAAATATTCTTGTTAAATAATTGATAATTGATTTTTCAGAACGCAAATATAAATAGAGTTCTATACAAAATAAAATAAAAATATGTAGGGGTGTTAGTTTTGTTTGTCGGAGGGCAGGAAATAGCTATTTGCTACCTCAGTAGCTAAGTAAACCTATTTGGTAATACATAAAAATCAACTTTTATTAGCTAAATGCATACCTTCTAATATTTAATTAACTCCATTTGGATCATTTTCCTATCACACTGTAGTTGTTTTGTCATTTTCCTATCACACTGTAGTTGTTTTGACACTAAAAAGCTCTAGTAATTCACCATAATAAATTTAGTAATGTCAAAAATAATATTCAACAAGATATCAACTTACAGTGATGACATATCCAGTATCAATGAATCACTAACCACTCACTCAGGCAAATGCGTAGAATTTAGACCTATGTTTTTGTTATGGTTTATTTTGTTTTAAATGGATTAGCATGCTCACAAGTATGTTTATTATATTATTTATTCTTAGTAAGATGGGATTATACTTTATTTGAATTAGCAATATTTATATTTTGCGAGGCCTTATTTCATTTGTATATTTAGAATGGTTGGAAGCTTTTTTGTCTGATTTTTTTTTTACTCATACGATCAAAGGACCAATTTTATGAGGCTTTACAAGAAGAAAGTTAAGATGCTGAGCACATTCAAAGTTGTTTAACAGCCTGATACTGAGCAGATTCAATTTGTAAAATTTTAAGTTAAAAAAATCTTTTACCTACTGATCTAGAGTACTTTAACTGAATTACAACTTTAATAATATGTAGATAGAAGTTATCAAATAACTTCAAACTAAAGTGTTAAAAAGTTTAATTTTATGTGCTGAATCACGTTATCTAGCGATAACTAGCCATAAAAGCGCAAAAGTGTGAAAAAAATACTTTCTTTATTTCAAAAATAGGCTGACCTTCCAGTAAATATGTGCTCCCTTAGACCTAAAATTGTAGGTTTGTTTTCCGTGGCCCACGACAAGAAGATTTTATCAAATTTCTTCCAAACACATTTCTCAATTTTAAAAGCTTCTTCAAAGTAATTATCCTGCCAAACAAAAATCAAGCCCAATGAATTTCTTTCTAAACACAATTTTAAGAACGAAAAGGAAAAAAGAAAAGAGTGGAAGCAACCTATTCATGTCTATAGTCTGAAGGGCTTCTCCACGAGTGAAAATAATGGCATGATTTTTAGTATTTTCAGGTTTCCCTTCACCAATTTCAGTTGGTGGGACCTGGGAGCTTGATTCGGTAAATTTCCTACCATGTAAATACGCCACCAAAAGATGAGGTTTTTTCGGATTTACACAAGAAATTACAAAGCCAACTTGCAAATGTATAAGCAATCAACAGTCAACCTTAATAAATCACAATTTTTTTTCCTAAAATTTGGAGATGCATCTGGGTTAGGAGTAGAAAAAAAAATTCCAATCAACTGACATGCACAAAATTATCAAATTCAGCATTCAGCCATTGGTAATTTTTAGAGGCCAAGGGATTGTTGCAGATTGCTAACCCAAGTCTAAGCCTAAAGTACATTAGGATTCAAGATCAGCTAGAAAGTACTATAATTTGGAGAGCTCATAAATACAATCAAATAGAGTTCTCTATGGATCCTCATAACAATGTAACAAATTCTGGTATCTAACAAAGTTTGGTTTTTGTTAAGGGAAGTAAATATAGAGTTGTGTATATACCCATGCTTCTAGGGATTTCCTCTATTAGACTAGGATTTGTTTTCGTAAATAGTATAGGGATTACTTGTATATATATTCTTGTCATTGATTCAATATACTGAAATAGATGATTATTCATACGAGTTACAAGTTTAATTTATATACTATCTCCTTGAATATATCTTTAAAATCTATTTGAGCTTATGCAAACAAGAAGTTGCAATTCAAGATCTCTTAACCATTTGTTTATAATTTCACAAATTTTCAACAAGTAAAGCATGATTAACCATGTCTCAGAATCCACTAGGTATCTAAATGTATCTCCTATACCACTCACTGACATCTCTCTCATTTTTCTGTAGTTATTCCATCACTTCACTCCCAGTAGAAAAGAGAATATAATCAAGAATCCAGAAAGAACAAATCGGGTCAATGCAATCACCACCTGAAAAAAAGAAAAATCTGAATGGGAATTTCACAACACCGACAATCCCATAAAGAAACAACCTTCCATGACAGTAATGACAATGCATCATGAAAGAATATAGGAGTCCTACCGTACATCCTCAATAATTTGCCAGTGCTTCTCATCTATTAGCTGATGCTCTTCTATAAATTAGATTTTAAACCACTTAAAATGGTCCCACCACTTAAAATGGTCCCGGTCAATGGAGTAAAATAGAATAATAAACAACAATGCAGACATTTCAAAGAATAAATCTCCCTTAGAGCAGTGATTTATTCACCCGTCCAACAAAATAAGCAATAAAGGATAGGTAAGCATCATTGCGCTTAACCTTACAAATAATCAAAAAAATTTACAAAACAGATTAAAAATCCAGTAAAAATCAAAGATAAATCAAGGTGTTAGCAGGAATATTGATTGACACGCTTGGAAAATGTATTCCAATATAACCTTGTCACCACTGCACCATCTTTAAAACAAATAAGAATTCAAACATCTGATACTGAACATAATGCAGTTCAGGAGAACAGGCTTGCCCTCACCATTTCTTTTTCTTTTTTTCCTCCTTGAGTGATATAATATATATATTGGCTTTTATATATATATTGGCTTTTTCTGGGCATGTAGTTCCAGGGAACATCATTTGTAGTTATCAGCTTGAATTTTAGATATCTACTTTGTTAATCTAATTTTAATTTGTTGCTTCCTGTTGAGTTCGATGGCACAAGAGGATACCTTACCCTCCATGATATGATATGCTTCCTTTCTTAATAAATTTTCTTTTCAGATAAGAATGATAAAGGTTAGTGCCAATTGCCTGCCAGGTTCAGCAGCCTTTCAAAATTAGCTTATGCTTTATTTTTAAAAAATAAAAATAAAAAAAAATGTTTTAAGGTACAAAACCTTTTCGTTTCCAACAATTAGATGTTAGGCTCTGTTAGCAACAACTTTTAAGGTAGCATCTAACACTTTAGCTAGGATCAAGACACTATTTTTGTTAATTATATTATTCGATAACATAATATTTATAATAGCGTTTAGAGATTGCTAGGGAGTGTTTTATGAAACATTTTAACAAAATTAATTGACTTTTTTAAATTTATTTTACGTTTAACAGCTAATCGAATGTCTATTTTTACTAAACAACTTCTACTTTAAGCTAATCGAATGTCTATTTTTACTAAACAACTTCTACTTTAAACCAATATATTAACAGCTGACTACAAATAGTTAATATCTAATAGTCAATAGCTAGTAAAACAGCTATTACAACAGCTAATATTGCCGAATGTGGCCTTAGAAACCTACAACCCAAACAAGTTATTACTTGTTTTTCCAAAAAAGAAAAGGGAAGAAAAGAAAAAACTTGATTCAATTAATGTATCTCTGCTTCCTCATTTACAGAGACAAATAAATTGTAGATTTCAATTGGAAAGTAGGAAAAATGAATCACCCATAGCAGTAATGAACTTGTGCATATTGCTCAACAAAATTCACACTCAAGAAGCAATTTAATTTTTTTAAAAATTTTTCTTTTGCATAGTTCACCCCAAAGATAGTGATCAAGCATCTATCAATTAATCACTTTCCACAGGTGTCTTTTCAAAGCAAAATGTTAATTCACAATGCTTAACTATAGTATCAAATTGATACATATAACTGGAAGTTGCCACCTAAAACTATTAAACTTTAACAGATAAAATGGGAAGCAAACAAATTCCGCATGAAAGAGGAGTTAGTTTCCATACCTCATCGGAAGTTGCCACCTAAAACTATTAAACTTTAACAGATAAAATGGGAAGCAAACAAATTCCGCATGAAAGAGGAGTTAGTTTCCATACCTCATCAAGCTTATCACATCCTTTGACGAGAACAGAGTAGTGAACCTTCTCAGATTTTCCATTCACTGTCTCCTCTCTTTCATCTATGTAAGCAACTCGTAGTGATGGATACCTAAAGCAAATTTGCAAAATTAAAGATACCATCAACCTTTCAGATTTGAGCAAAGAACTGCTTACACTAGATGCAAGAGTGATTTTAACTTACGTTAACATGAGATTAAGAATATTACTGTAACAACTTCGATCTCGAGCATCAGTAGATTTTTTCTGGGTCCCATAAACTTGACATGAAACAACATAGGTAAACTTCAAATCAGCCAGAGCTTGTGCATGATCAAGAAAAGTCTTCTGATGAAACTGATAGGTTTCACTTGATTCCTTAGTGTGGCTTGCTGCCCACAAAAATACCATCTAGGTTATTATACAGAGAATGTAACATAGTCAAACCCTGATATTCATTATTGCATCAAAATATCTGTGCAAAATCACAAACCATTGTCGCCTGTGAATTCCAGGGAGCATTGAACTTCTAGAGCTTTCTTGTAGTACATCATTCCCCTCACTGGTGGAAATAAATAGATAGATGATATTAGTTAAGAGAGATGCAGAACAGACATGAAACCAAGTCAAGATAGGGCATAAATAAAAACTACTCAAACCTGTTCTAGCAAGTGTCTGCCCCCTGTAGGATACCCACTGACGAAGACACTCTGCTCTTTCTTTGGCAGAGTAATTAAGTTCATTATCATTCATTCGTTCCTCAAAATTTTTCCATTCATCTGGAAGTTGGGGCGTTAGTAAGCTGAACCTAGGACAAAAATAAAAGAGTAATAATGCAGCAATGGATCTTCAACTTACCACGATATATTGTCTTAAGGTAGAACAACATTGTTATGCCATCCTCATTTTCCTTGTGAAGATCATCATCAGAATATAGAACATCTTCTTTGTAATATGGAGTCAAAACACTAGCCATATATCATAAAATGCTTTAATGTCAGAAAAAACAAAAAATGAAAAATAAGTAACCATCTGTTTTCTGGCCAATGGACAATCTCTGTATGGAAGCATGTAATCCAATTATGTAACATAAGTATATTGCAAAGCAAATGGCTAATTATAAACATACCAGAACATAGTTTTCATATATTATCTTTTCCCTTTTGAATATATTGCAGCTATAACCCACAATCAATGTTATCTATGTGTCATCTATTTCCATTTGACAATCTATAATGTTATCACCCTAAAAGAATGGTTTTGTAATCACTGACCTAAAGGAGAGCATGTCTCGAACTTTTGGAGCTGTTGGCATGTTCATAAATAAGGAATTTGCAAAGAAAGTGATACGGCGGCGAGCATCCAAGTTTGAAGGTACATTTATAGCAGATTCCTTTGTGGTCAAAAGCAAATGAAGCCGAACAACCTTCGTAGAGATGTATATGTGATTAACATAGGATTTGCATACAAAATGACAAGGTGATATCTGCCATAATTGAGTATCAAGACTACCTTCTCCCTCCAAGATTTGTTTTGTGTAAGGCCAAAATTTATCTTTCCAAACCTCTGCTCTTTCTTGCTATTATGATCATCTATAGTGGTAGGATGAGCTCTTTCTAGGATTCTGCCGCAACAGAAAACACAGAAAACAATATAATTATGACGGTTATTCTAGCAAGATACTGAAACCAATTTTCACATCCACAGCATATTTGAAATTTTTCAGAACTTACTCATGACCGTGAATCATGATATCCTGAGTAATAATTTCTATAATATCCTGGAGAACATTTATTATTTGAGATCTGTACGCATCAACATCTTCATAACCAGATGGCTGTCAACATATTACTAGCATGAGTGATAAATCTGATAATGACCATGATGATAAGTTCATTGAATTAGAATACAAGAAAATGAAAAGGAAAAAAGGAACCACAAAGAAAGCATTCTACCAAAACTTTTAGAAACTTCTCTAACTTTTCACTGAGCATAGGCAAGCCACTCATCCGGAATTCATTCAAAAATCTGTGTTGTTGTATGCTCATATCCACTTCATAACAAATCTGTCTTACAATCCTATTTAAGAAGAAAAGCAGAGAAAGCAAGCAAAAACAGAAAGAACCGTTATGAGGCTTCTATGGAGGGAAAAAAATTATGACAGCAATTTTTTTTTTTTTTTTAATTTTTAACAGTCAGTTATCCCCAGGTTGCATCACAGGCTCTTTATAGGTGTGAAGCTTATAAGATAAAGGCCCCTTACTTCCTATCAGCATCATCTTCCAGAAGGCCATATATTATGTCTCTCAATGATTCGTAGGCCTCAGTTACTGCCGAACGCATATAGTCATCCATCTTCTTATATAAGTCAGCATCTTCCTTTCCCTTGAAATCTTTTGCCTTCTTATATAAGTGAGCATCTTCCTTTCCCTTGAAATCTTTTGCCATGTCCAATGCTATTGGAATCTAACATGTCAACCAAACAAGGAATAAGTTATACATGATTTGTGTTGAGTAATAAAATTAACATTAATAATGGGTTACAGTTTCAGTTTCACCTTGCTAGCAAGCAAAAAAGGAGGCCACTGGACAACAGACACATCACTTGAAGAATAAGGTACAAGAAGCAAGTCTCTTTCACTGCAAAGTAAGAACAAAAACTATTAGGAACAGAAAGTATGATACATCATACATATTGAAGAAATTTTGTGTAAAGGTCTCAACTGGTTGCTGATTAAATCCTCATTTCTCATAGAATTGATGAACTCATTCCACACCAGAGAAAAGTTTACAATATTTTTTCTTTCAATGGACGCATCCTGCCATCAAGAAATGCTACTTAGGCAACAAAACAAAAATATTCTAATCAAGTGCTAAATAAAATAGACAAAGAAAACTAAAAAAATTTCCCGAATATATATATATATTTTCTATATAAAATGTAGCTGCACCTGGAACATATAATAAAACTAAAGAAAACAAAGATCAAACAGGTGTATCAGTTAGAATTGCTACCGCCACTACGCCAGGTGTTCCTATCAGTATCATCATTTGAATGATGGGACAAGGCGGCGACTGAAAAGGCTGAAGGCACAGATCAAATCTAGGACCCGTAACATTCCAGTGTTCGTATCTGGGCATTGCAAAAAGTTTAGTGCTATTAAGACGATTGAAACCCTGACTAAATGATATTTTGTAAAATATTATTATAATTTAAAACCTCAGGATAATACAGAGATTTTATAATTTGCTTATTTAATTGTAGGAGCAACAAAAGCCCAATTACCTCACCCAAATGGCTGAAGGCTCCATGAATCCACCAAAAGAGTAGAAAAGATTGGAGTACCATATTTGTCCATCCATAAAATAACCTAATATATAAGAGATACTTATTTCATAACCAGCATAAGTGAGAAAATTTTTTCAAATGTCACAAACTTGTCATTGCAGTACACTTACCAGCACAATTTGAGCCCATATTAGGCCATAAAACAAAACCGATGTTTATGCGTAACTACAGAAGGTGATGTTATGCGTAACTACAGAAGTTTCAAAACATAAGCTTGGTGCAGTTATAGACACGACACAAAAGGAAAGAAAGTCACAAAAATGAAATATTACCATTTGGAAAGAACTCATGCCATTGATAATTATCAATATGCATATCCATGATCAACTTCGTTGGCCCAACCAAAGGAAGTATCTAATGACAGAATATGTAAATTACTAGTTAATAACATATATATGAGAAATAATACAAGAAAATAAGCATTCTACATGAAAATAAATAGGAATCTAACGCATCCAAGGCATGGCTAAAAAGAATTAAAACCGTCTGTTTATTAGGAACCTATCAGAATTTACTAGTTTGTTTAATTATGTTTCCTGTTAAATTAGTTTGCGAATAAAGAGTTTCTGTAAAAGTATGTGGGTACTCCCACATTGGATAAATATAAATTGTGTAAATGGCATATGATGGGGAAGTTGAACCAACCAAAATGGCTTAGGCCATTTTGTGTTAAAGGTAAACTCAACTCATTATAAGCTCAATTATTAAATGAATTGTTAATTGAATTTGACTAATTGCTCCTAGGGCCTAGATTCTTAACATGGTATTAGAACCTGGGACTCGAATCTGCATTGCATGAGGGAAGTTCCCATTTGAGTCATACGTTGATGGACCCATGTTGGGCCATCGTATACTTGTCAAGTGACCTAATTGTCACTTGAGGGGGGAGTGTAGAGGTATGCAGGTGATCCCCCAGATAAATATAAATTGAGTAAATGCTAATAGGGGTGAACCAACCAAAACGGGCTATTTTGTGTTAAAGGTGAGCCTAACTCATTATAAGCCCAATTGTTAGTTGAATTTGACTAATTGCTTCTAGAGCCTAGATTCTTAACAGTTTCCAAAAAAATTTGAAAAAAATACCACACAAATTTTACTTGAGACAGCAGCCATTTTGAATTTACTAAAATACTTGAAAATAGATTAAATTCCATCAGCTGCGTGTCAGCAAAGTTCAACACTCACACCTCTAATTTCCCATAGCAAGGTATTTATTTCTGAGGACAGAAGAGGATATATTTAGGAAACATGTAATATCACTTAGTGGCTTGAATACTATTCCTTCTCATGTTCCTTCAAGCATGAACTAATCCTCAATTGCCCATTTTACAATGAATTCATAATTCAAAACTTATGCATAAAGCACCTATCAAGAAATGTGCTATTCCATAAGCCAATTTTCAATTTCTATGGCATAAAATGATACCTTCTTTATCAACTTCTGACTTGCATAAAATTAATTGAATTTGTTATAAATACCTAGAACTGTGCACTACAAAAATGTTTGAAGTTTTGGGTAGAAATTGTTTTTGGTTGTACCAATGCGTGCAGACATAATGCATCTGAAGTTTCGAACCCAGGTTAGCATGAGAGCTGTATGCTAGGGGATATCAAAATAAGATAGATATTTGAGTAAAAACCTCCACATAGTAGCTAAATGCTAGCTTGCTGATTAGCAGCATGATCCAAAACAATGTATACCTGAGCATGGGAAAATGAAAATAAGTTAGTGGAAGTAAAAAACCTGAGTATAGCAGCATCAATGCATTTTAGACATCCCAATTTAGAAACATAAAATCAACCCAAAACTATCACCAAATTGAGCAACTTCCTTGTTGCAAATCACAAACACCACCCCCCTGAGCAAACTTCCTTGTTGCAAATCACAAACACCCCCCCCCCCCCCAAAAAAAAAAAAAAGCGGAAAAATCAAATCACAAACACCATCACCCCCCCCCCCCCCCCCCCCCAAAAAAAAAAAAAAATGGGAAAAAAAACAAGAAAAAGAACCGATAATAAAATAAAAGGGAAACATAATTACAAACAACAACAACAAAGCCCTTAATCCCAAACTAAAAACATCATTACAGACAAAAGCACTTATTTATCTTACTTCAAAAGTGAGAACATATCTTCATGCATGCCTCTTCCCACATATAGTTTTGGCTGCAGCATGGAAAATTGCACATAAAGATATACCCAGGTCAAATTTTTTAAGAAGAAAATATCAGCACTAAAAATTATCAACTGAACCAGAAAAATAGTTTGTCTAATCAGAAGTAGCAACATAAGTATGCTTGCCTGAGCCCACCACATAATAAATGTAATAATCCGAAAATTTGAACGCTCCATTCTTCTCCGTAAAGGTGGAAGCACAAACAGTAGAGCAGCCAACAAATTGGGTAGCAAGTAAATTGCAACTGCATAATTATAAAGTGACTGATTCTGCCAATCCCTAACCCAATTGTTAAAGAATTTCAAAAGGCCAGTTGGATTCTGCACAGAACTGGAATAACCAATTGGAAGAACTACAGCCCACACAGCTGCTACTGCAAACTTCAGAAGATATCTCAGTATTTGTGTGGCTTTTAAGCTCCTCCAGGCATTAAGACTAAGAACTATATCCAGAGCAGCTGCAAGACAGATGACAAAGAAGATGTAGAAACACCAAAAGCAACTCAGTCAATCACCAAAACCAAATATAACTGGCTACCATGCTTGAAACTGTTGTTTACAGTTAAAATAAAAATACAAATAGCAGAAATTACTATAATTGCAAAGCTCTCATTGATCTAGTTGATGTCCAGATATAGTGGGGGTGCATTCAGTTAGTTCCAGTAAACTGAATTGAGTATAATGTATGGCTACAATAATGACATTGAGTGAAATGAATAACCAAATGACACTGAATAATATATAAATTAAATAATCGAACAACAACATAAAAAGTTTAGTTATTTCAGTTATTTCAGTTTCTTGGCTTTTAATTGGGATTTTCTTTAAGCCATAAAACAGATTGGTGATTTTTCAAGTTGGATTCATTCTGGAGTTGGGAAAAAAAAGAAAAATAAAAAAGTAATTTCTAAATACTAATCAAAAGAATGCCATAAATATGAGCTCCTGAGTGTATAGAATACAAACAAACAGATATGAAAGAAAAAGAAAATAAGAGGGATCAGATTCTTGGGACGTACAGCTGAATTCTAAATTGTTTCATTTAAGAGAAATAATTTAAAGAATTATGACAAACTATTTAAAAAAATGAATTGATATTTTGGTTAAATTTTCAAAACTAAACAAGCTGATAACAGATAACTGAACAGGCCAAGATGAATTTAACCAGAATTTCAGAGATACCTTGTAGAAAATTGAGAAAAGCAGACAGGCCAAGATGAATTTAACCAGAATTTCAGAGATACCTTGTAGAAAATTGAGAAAAGCAGACGTGACAAAGATGCTCAAAACACTTCGGAACACATCCTCACTGAAAAAATCAGTAATTGATCCAGACGAATTCCATGCAATGATAACCATAGCCTGAAACAAAAGTAGGAGACAATTGATTTGCCTTGAGAATATTACCGACAAACATTCAAGTAACATTTAATTTACCTGGAAAGCCAATATAAAGAATATCCACATTCGGTCAAAACTTCTGAACAGGTGCCAAAAGGTGCGGACTTCAACAAAATTTGTTTTAGGTTTCCTCTTACCTCTATTCGCTTGGTTAGATCTCTGTAAAAAATCACATTAAGGCAGAAACATTAAGAACTCTAACTATAGACAATGGGAGCAGCTCAAAGAAAGAAGAGTCTGGTCTGGTCTGAATTCAGGCCCGGGCCAGCATGCCCATCTGCAGCTTCTCAATGTTATAAAATTACTGGAGTCTCGAGCAATCAATCATAAGAAAAAAGAAAATGAGAATTATATTTGTCATACACAACACACCAATTAGTAGACAAAGCCTTGTTTAGCTTCTTTTTCACAACGACTGATTAATGTATACATTTTGAAGAATCAAACCAAACAAAAACCCCTTGACTTAAGCAAAATATTCACCTTTTAAATTTTATTTGACAAGATAAAAATTAAAGGATAGAAGGAAACAATAACATTGGAGGAGATATAACAAAGGTAAAAAATAAAAAGAAAGAAAAAGAAAGGACTTACAAAAGCATAAAACATCAAACGTTTACGTTTTAGCAACTATAAATCATAATAGCATCGCTGTATAATACTTTAGGCAAAAAAAAGTAACCAGCTGAAAAATCATTTGACCATTATACTACAAATCATGGATAAACAATAGTTGGACAAAAGAATTTCCAATTTTTTGAGTCATAATCATCCATGTACTTTCACAAAGATTCATGCAAAAACCTTAACCAGGAAGAGAGACAGACACAAACCTCATTTGTATGCAGCGTGTCATCGGTATGAACAAAAAAATCTGCATTACGGTCCATTGGCCACCCCAGCCTAAAACATTTCCAGGAAGAGAGACAGACACAAACCTCATTTGTATGCAGCGTGTCATCGGTATGAACAAAAAAATCTGCATTACGGTCCATTGGCCACCCCAGCCTAAAACATTTATCAGACCTGAAACACATAGAAAAAGTTCAGCTAGTGGCCTGATCTGATGGAATACAAACAGAATTTACTGTTCAAGATTCTCACCAGAAGTACTCATTCAAGTCATCATAATTTCTCCATTTTGAATGACTTGCCTTGCCTCCTTTGTTTCTTTTAGATTCCTGTTTCACATGAAATAAGTTCATTTTTCAAAATAAAAATGGAAAATAAAGATGTTGAACCCACAAGTTTGACACCAAATTGTTTTGATGATAATAAGTAATTAAATGTGCTAGTAATAGAAAATCAAGTGTTTGTATAAGATGTAAATTTGCAAGCATTGTAGACCTCCAACAAATTGAGCTGGGGAAGTCAATAGGCTACTTATTTCTTTCAAAGCAAGTGGATACAAGGATAAGAAATCTCCAAGAGCTATAAAAAAAATTTTTAATTGTATGCTCAATAACAATTGTACTTTATCTCTATTGTAAACTTGATTTCTAGGTCTTGCGTGGCACAATGACCTGGTCTTGGAAATCATGAACCCCTCTCACACACAAAATTACTTCTATAAGTCCACAGGAGACCTTTAGGTCCAAAAGTTTTTCCTTGTTAGAATCCATATGTCAAGTTTGAGAATAAACACATCAAAACCAGTTAGCTCTGATGCTTTATTTTAGGGGCTTAGATTTCCATGTGTCAATTCTAGGTTTCAACGCATCGAATTGAGAATCAACACATCAAATCAATGTTTTATAAGTCCAGGCCTTGGATGTTAGGAACCCCTTCTCTCACACAAAATTCCTTCTATAAGTCCATAGGAGACCTTTTGGTCCAAAAATTTTTCCTTATTAGAATCAATGTGTCAAATTTGAGAATGAACATGTCAAAACCAGTTAGCCTGATGAGGGCTTAGGATTGAATGTGTCAATTCTAGGTTTCAACGCATTGAATTGAGAATCAACACGTCAAATCAATCTTTCCAGAATACCATGATGACTAGCTGTGGGAGGTTGAATGGAAAAAATTAAATTTAATACATTCCAACAGCTCTAATTCAGTTAGAACTCACAAATATCCCAGTTAAGAACCTAAAAGAAGGTTACAGCAACCAATTTTTGAGCCTTAATTTAGAGCCCCAACTAGTTTTCAGCTACTTCTCTCCCTCAACTTTAATTGACCCTATTATTGCAAGTGAGCTTGAAACTGAGTGTAGTATCTCAATTTATAAGTTAATTAGAGAGTGTTTGCTGAGGTATTAACTGCATTTGGTTGTTTGTGCAATATTGTAAAACAAATTACTAGAGTTAGCAATTTGGGGCAAGTGTAATTTGTAAGGATTTGATCTTCACATCTTCACATTGAATAAGATCAAGTATGATTGATAGAAAGTCAAGGAGGCCCTTGAGGACAGGATGCAGGCTTGTTAGGAGCCAAACATCTACAATTATTGTCTCTTTCTCTCTTTCCCTTGACCATTATTCAAGCAATATTAAGGTTTTCTTGAAATTCCTCATATAACCCAACTCACCCTCCCTCTTGGGTTGCCACAAAGGACAATAGAAGAGATTACACAAGCAATAGATTTTATTGAAGATGTTTTTGATGAAGAAGAAACTGTATCACAAAGAATGGAGCACAATACTCCGCAAGGACAAGGGTTCATCATAAAAGATTCCACAAACAACTGCAAATAATAACATAAAAGCAACCTAAAAAGAAACACCTTGGATTCCAGTCAGGTAATGCTTAGAGAAAGATCCCTAAAAGCTTCAAAAGTATATGCCATACTGAAGCCAAAAGTAATAACCTGTTCCCTAACTAATTAAAAAAGAACTTCTGAATTCGAAGATGCTAGAATTTAAAATTTACCTTGTGCAAAACAATGTAAATTGGAGTTACAACATTTCTCAAAAAGGCTTCTTCATCAACAGCTGCAGTTTCATATGTCTCTCCACTAACAGGATGCACATTGCTATATAATATTCCATACACCTCATTTGCCATCTTGTAAATAAAGGAAAACAATCAGCATTAATAGTTGACGATGTGAAACAAAAAAGGTTAATGTATTGGATCCACGCAGGATACTTATGAAATTTATTCTATTATAAGCTTGGAACAGTGCCATAGAGAGAATTGACACTTCCTTTTGCCAGAAAGATCCTTATTATAAAGTGAGTGTCAAACAATTCTGGAATTCACATAGAATGACTAAGAAAGAATTTAGCAAAATAATGAAAAGTGAAAGATGGGGAAGCACACTTCCAACCTTGAAGCAAATGCAGCCTACATATTTGCTTTTCAATTTTCAACTTAAAATGTCTGGATTATGGATTTGAAAAAAAAAAAAGTCCATTCTAATAAGGGTACAAACATATTATAAGTAATTTGATGATTAAAAAAAAACAAGCTATTTTGGTGTCAAATTGATGATAAGTTATCAAACTTAAAGAATAGAATAACTAAAATCATTTTGATAAGTTTTTTAAATTTACAAGTTAATGATGTATCCTAGAAAATAAATTAGCATATATATGCATTTAATTTAAAATATGAACTTTGATTAAGCATTAATTCCATATTTTTGAAAAAAACATAAAAATTTGTATAATATGCAAAATTACATTATACAAATTTCAATCATTATCTAAAATATCTAAAAATTAAACAAGATTTTTGTGTATTTAAAACCCTTTAATACTTCAAAAAACAAAAAAAATCAAAATCAAAAATTCAATGAACAATATGGCCATTACAGTACATGGTATAGCAACAAGCTAAAAGTAACATTTGTAAACATTTTTCAATTCAAGAGAGTTGTTCTCATTACAAATATCAAATTTTGTTCTATGAAGATTAATTTAAAGCAAAAGTTTAAAGAAAAAGGAACAAGAGGAAGAAGGGAAAAAATCATTCTCAATTCGCAATTTTGTGCCTACACAAGAAATAACAAAATTTAGCCTATAGCACACCTAAATCCATTTCAAACATGTAAACATCAACTTATAAAACGATAAAATAATGCACACGGTATATTTGGTTACCTACTATCATAGATTCAACCTTCTATGGGCATATATTTCAATTTAATAAATGGATTGCCTTGACTTGTCAAAGATTCCACCCTAAAAACTGAGGTACAAGCCAAAAAATTAATCATTTCTAGAGTACGAGTGATAGTTGCAAATTGGAAAACAGTTAAGCACTTTTTTAATTATTAATCCTTGAAACAATTGACAGGACGAATGAAATTAAAGGTATTAGGTCATGAATGGAAACAAATAACATGCAAAAGAAACACAACTCACTATTTCTGGTATATTTGAATCACGTGGGAATCTCCCATATTTCACAATCATTAAGCTTGAAAAACAAATACAAAGAGAAAGATGCCCACAGATAATCAAACCCAACATTAAAAGAAAGTAAAATAAAAACTTACGTGATGGAATATATAGCAGATGCATTCTGGCATGAATCTTATATTTGAAGCTTCACCCCATATGAGAAGATAAAGTCCAATGTAGATAAGCTCTAATTGTTGTCTGTCAGAACCTTGAGGAAATCTGCAGAGTCAAAAGTAAAGCACCTGATAAGTTGTCATACCTATTGTAATTCAAGAAACACTAATGTTGGCAAAATCACTTACCTAAGATTTGATTTACATCGCAAATAATCGCACCATGAACGATAATTCTTAAATATGTTATCCATCAATTGCTCTATGGTACTACTATCAAGCTGCAATAAGTTCCTTGCATAAGTTCCTTAATCATTTTTCAATGAACAATAATACCAAGGATAACCCACATGGACTACAAGAGAAGAATATTAAGAATATCTTTGAAAACGAGGTAGAAAACGAGCAAATTTCCATTTAAGATTTTACCACAGTAAATAAGCAGAATATCTTTGACAAAGGACTAACAGAGAAAAATAGTGAATATCTTTTGAGAAGAAGCTAGAACAGCAATTTTCATTTAAGAATTTTAACCACAGAAATAGATTTCTTCATGACTGCCTTTTCCTTGCAATCAATATTGGCTATGTAAGCATAATAAGATGCCTCCCTCTGATTAGCAACATTTCCTCTCTTCGTATCCCCAAAAAAAACAAGAAAGACAATATCATGGAAGTTAAAGAAAAAATGATATTTATTTCATTGCAATTCATATAATATCTAACGCAAGAAAGATTTATAAATCAGATAAAAAACCCTCATCATTAGTTGGCAAGATGATAAAAAGGTTGTCTAATAACTTGTGTGGATGCTGAAAGAAATAGAATGAAAATCTAGGTTAATATGCCTCCAGTAGAATATTTGACAGACATACAAAATCACAGGAAACATGTTCTTTTTTTCAAATCTGGAATCTTCTTTAAGGGTATGTCCTCTGATCTTAAATGTCCTCTCATGATTGGAAAAACCCTCAATCTTAATTTGGTTTCTATCATTTCATTTACAAAGATATTACTAACATTGAAGATGGTGTCGCTCTATAGAAGACTATGGTTCACAGATTTTTTTTTTATTCATGCACAACCTCTAAATGTGTCAATGCCCTTTTGGAAGAATTAAGTCTGGCAGTGGCCTGGTAACATTAGATTTCTTCTGTGAGCATTCCAGAGAGAATATGCTGAATTTTCTGTTGAATAATTTTCTACTTGTAGTCTGCCATCGCCAAATGTTTTACCTTACTTTTAAAAAAAGGCCAAGCTATATTAAATTCACGCTTGTACCTTTCCGAGAAAAAACTTGTGGCACCTGACTTTGCAAGGGAATCTATTATGCCCTAAATTTATGAATTTTAGTAACACTGCATACTTTTTCACAACTAAAAAACAACAATATTTATGATGTAGTGACATTGTCCCAACCCACAATGGTCTGAGCAAACTTCCTGTGCCTTAGGATGATGTAATTCCAAGCCTTCATTTCCCCTTTGGCCTGCTTAAAGGTGACTATTGGGTGCCTAATACTAATTTAGTCTAGGAAGTAAAGCTGGATCACCAAAAGCAGAAGACCCAAAGCCTATGACATGATAGATGCAAATATGAAAAAGGAAACTGAAAAAAATGAATTCAATGTGAAAATTACCTGAAAGCCAAAAACAGAAGAAAGCCAGTCAAGGATATCATTGACTGATTTAACCCTTTCCTTAGGCAAGTCATGAGAGGCAATCTACGTGCCCAAAGCTAATATTTTTGGGCATTGGAAGAATTTATCCACATTACTATAGCACTAAGTGCAGCTTTTTTGATCTACATGTTTAAGGGAACAAAAAGTAATAAACATGAGAAATTATAGGCTTTTTCAGAACAAATGTAAGTAAGCAAATAAGATTACAAACTTGACATGCCCAACCCTCAAGGAAGTTCCAATAAATGCAGGTTTTGCCCCAAGCAGCATATAAATGGAAGAATATTGTAGTGTTCATATTGCTCCTTTAGCCTGGTCAACATCCCGGGCATACCTTTTGGTGTCTGGGTAAGAAAGATCAATTTAAGACGCTTTTAATTGCATTCCACGCAAATAATGGTGGATTTAAGATCTTAGTTCCCCAAATATCAAAGCAAGCAACTTCCAACCTCATTAATCAATTTTTGATGGAGGGTACCCACCGTTCCTCGAGCACATCATACAATTCACTGCTGCAATCTGAAGAATCCTTAGGCCATCTTCTTCCTACAACAGTTGGCAAAAAAAAAAACAGAAAAAAAAAAAAAAAGATTAAGATGCACATGTGCATTAGAAAAACTTGAAGATTTGATCAGTGTATAAAAAAAGGAAAACACCGCCAATTAGAAATCAATACTCAAACGGTTTTTTGTCATATCGGCCTTCCTTGGGTAATGTTTTTTTCCACATAGAAATTTCTGGTAAAAACAAGTTGAATTTCCTTTTGGATCAGTTCCTGCCCAAAGTTGAACGTTGTGTTTCTACTTCTTCCTACAGAAAGAAAAACTGATTTAAAATCATTTCTCAAACCTTCGCAAACTGTCAAATTTAAATTGGAGTTTTAAATTCTAGATACTGCAATGTTGAAATAATTCAACTGAAAAATAATGAAAAAAATTAAGGGCCAAAAACTTCATGAAGTCCAGCAATGTGTGATGTTAAATTTGCAAAATAGATATGATATCTGTGGAGCAATGATTCTGATGCTGAGGAAATAACTTGAACTATGAAAGCTTATTAAATGTTTTTATTTGTCTACAAAAGTTTGCAAAGAAGATTTTGATATGATTCAGGTCTGAAATGTTCTTCGCTTCCCTAAGTTTAGCCTGAAACTCAGCATCAAATATGAACTGGGAACAGTCCCCACAATGCACATTCCTGTCCCTGTTCTCATTTATAATGAGGATTCTGAACCCATTCACCTTCATCAATAATGCTTGGTCTGAACAATTTTCCGACTCTATTCCTACCTTTCAAAATAAATAAGCCTTAAATTGGCATGTTGCAAGCTAATGACTTTTGAGTATTATTTCCAACAAAAGCAGGTAAGAATTATAGCAACATAAGTTTTACCCTCTCAAAGCCTATGCAACCAAATAAGTCTTGAATCCTGGCGAACACACGTCCCACTTCGAGTTTGGATCATCCTGTGAGCCTTCCTCAAAGGCAATGAAAAGGCGGCCCTAATTAGACAACACATTTATATGTAAGGGAAAAGAAGTAAGTTGACAGGAACTTTTTGCTAAAATTTGATAAGACATGAAAAAAGTAATCAGTAAATTCCACAAATCAGTAAAGAAATCAAGATGGACAGCGATCAACTGCATCATGGAAAAGTAGCAATAATAAATATCCTCTATGGCAAACACATTGTCAGTCTTTGCTTTAAAATATCCCTATCCCACAACAAAAGGATCAATGGTGAGGAAAATAAAAAATTGGCTGCAATAAGAAATGATGACTACTGGAAAAATTATTTATAAAACATTTTTTTTCAAATTAACTTTGTCGCATCTGTTCCAGAAAATGTCTGAAAAAAATCATCGGAACATAGAACTCGCAGATACCGTTTAGAACCACTATGTTAAGGTCTTTTCTGGAACCAAAAAAAGCTCAATCCAACAATAATAAAAAGATAGCCAATGCAACTCAAATTTAATTGCAAATGAAATTCAGATGAAGAAGAAAGCTGAATTGCCTGACAAGGATTATCAAAGTGGAAAAAGAGGAAAAGAAAGAAAAAACGAAGAGATTTTAAAAGAATGGAAAAAGAAAGGGAAAATCAAGGAAATATTATAACATCCAAGTTTCAAGACTTTTTCTTCTTTATCATCCATTTCAATAGCATATATTCCACATGAACAAACCAAACAAATTGGGAAGTTCTTTTTGCTGAAATAAACCACTTCCTAGCCGAACCCATAAAAAAAGACCAAAAAATTGAACGTGACATCAAAAATTTACATAAAGCCATTGTAATTCATATTAAAACACAAAGTAAGCAGAACAAAATAAATTGCCCCCTTCCTATGGAAACTAGCCCAACTCATAAGCATCCTTTTCCTTCAAAAACATCCAATACGTAAAACTACCATGGCTTATACCGAAATTACTGGATAGCAAAGTAATCTCAAATGCCTATTATGTAGTCACTTTCTCTACTCTATAATGATTTAGAAAGGTATAATTGCTTATCTAAACTCCAACTTTCCAATATTCCCATTCACATTAACACATTAGAAGTCCGAACTACTATAAATAAAAAAATTTGGATGAGGAAACAGAGGAAAAAGAAAAAAGGCCAAAAGAAGCTTACAAGAGATAAGCAACTCTAGGATTTTCCTTCTCCACCTCATTGGCGAACCACGGAGAATGTGAGCATTAAACAGACAATACGAAGAAAGGACAAGCTCGTTCTATCCAAGGCAGAAGTATCTTCAATCAGCAAAATTACTCATAGTCTGAGCCCGTGTCATCCTCCGGGAAAGTGAGCGAGGCGGGCCGCCCTCATTTCTTCGTCCCGCTCCGAACTGGCCATATCCAAGCCAGAACCTACTGTTAGCCTGCTTCCTTTGCTAATAGAAAAATGAAGTAATGGAATTATCCAATAGGTTTCGAATGCCGATTGTTTGGGTATTGTTTTTAGTATAATAAATTAGAGAAGAAGCCATTTTTTCCTTTTGGAAAGGAGAGTGAGAGAATGCTTTGGGTGTGGGAGTGGGGGAAAGTGTTGCTCTTGTAAAAGAAAAGAATGATATCTCTTTTTCTTTGAATTTAAGTGGAAGAAGTGTCTTTTGCTTTTCCCATAAAACAAATCAACAATCGAAAACTATTTGTCCTTGCTTTTCAGTTTTTGTTTGTGCTTGTGTTGCTTTAGCTGTCTACTTCTGCTTCTGCTTTTGTCCTGTGTTTTTGTGAAAAGTAAGGGCCGTAAGCTTCGTGGCTTGAACAGGAAGCCCGAAACTGGAAAAAAAAGAAAAGAAGAAGCTTTTCTTTTTTATTTTGACTGCCGCCCCAATAATTCTCAAGCACGGCCTCTACTTGTTCAAGATGTATTAAAAATATGAAAAAATTGTTTTGTTCTACGGTTCCTAAAATTGATAATATAAATATTTTTTTTAATATAACTTTTATTTATTTATTAAATAAAAAAAATAATTTTAAAAATAAAGGGTAAAATTGATAGAATTTAGTTATGAATTTTATTATAATTTAAAGAGAATTAATTAATTTTTATGTTTTCGGTACAAAAATTTTAAATATTTATATTTTAAAAATAGAAGAGAATAAAT